TCTTCCGTTAAAAACTGAAAAGAAGCTTTCTCAGAAACTGCTTTGTGTTCTGTTAAATCATCTCACAGAGTTACAGCTTTCCCCTCAAGAAGCCGTTCACTAGTACTGTTCTTGTGAAATTTGCAAAGTGATATTTGGAAGCCCAAAGAGGGCTACGGTGAAAAAGGAAATATCTTTCGTTAAAAACTGCAAAGAAGCTTTCTGAGAAACTGGTTTGTTTTCTGTTAATTCATCTCACAGAGTTACAGCTTTCCCCTCCAGAAGACTTTCGCGAAGACTGTTTTTTTTTTTTTTTTTTTTTTTTTGTCAGCGCTCAAAATCTTTTTAATAAGAGGGTAGGATCCAAGGTTAGTTTTTGTAGCCTCGGCTGGCCCGTCGGCCTCTGGCACGCTCGAACTTCCGGCCCTTGGAGCGGACGTAGGGTTTGGTGTGGCTGTGCGGGGTTCCTGGGGCCTTGCCGAAATGCCGGTACACCTCTCGGCCCTTGCGAGGACCGGAGAGCAGGACAGTGCCGCAGCCCTTGGGGGAGTCGAAGGTCAGCTGGTCGAAAGTGAGGATCTTGCCCCCGGCCCTGAGGATGCGGCTGCGGGCCCGGCTGGTTACGCGCAGTGCACATACCTTCAGTTTGGGCACCTCCTGAACCCGCACGTCGTCCGTTATGGTCCCCACAACCACAGCCGTTTTGTTTTCCCGGCCAGGAAGCTTCATCTTCCGGGTCATCCGGGAAAGGGACAGAGGCGGCCGGTTGGAGCGACTCATAAACAACCTCTTCAGCACAACCTGGTTGAATGTGGAATTGGTTCTTCTGGCCAGAAACCTATACAACTTGACCAACAGCCTCAGGTAGATATCCTGGCTCTTGGGCTCCTTTGCCGAACCTTTTGGGCCTTGTTGTGGCGGATGTCAACTCCCATGATGGCGCCTCCTGCCCGGCCAGGTCTGGAAAATCGCTAAGACTGTTTTTGTGGAATTTGCAAAGTGGTATTTGGAAGCCCATAGAGGGTTATGGTGAAAACGGAAAAACGTTCCGTTTAAAACTGTAAAGAAGCTTTCTGAGAAACTGCTTTGTGTTCTGTCAATTCATCCACAGAGTTACAGCATTCCCCTCAAGAAGCCTTTCGCTAAGACTTTTCTTGTGCAATTTGCAAAGAGATATTTGGAAGCCCCTAGAGGGCTATGGTGAAAAAGGAAATATCTTCAGTTAAAAAATGGAAAGAAGCTTCCTGAAAAACTGCTTTCTGTTTTGTTAATTCATCTCAGAGAGTTACAGTTTTCCCTTCAAGAACTTTTTCGCTAAGACTGTTCTTGTGGAATTTGCAAAGTGATATTTGGAAGCCCATAGAGGGCTATGGTGAAAAAGAAAATATCTTCCGTTAAAAACTGGAAAGAAGCTTTCTGAGAAAATGCATTGTGTTCTGTTAATTCATCTCACAGAGTTACAGCTTTCCTCTCAAGAAACCTTCCTCTAAGACTGTTCTCTCGGAATTTGCAAGGTGTTATTTGAAAGCACATAGAGGGCCATGTTGAAAAAGGAAATATCCCAAGATAAAAACTGAAAAGAAACTTTCTGAGAAACTGCTTTGTCTTCTGTTAATTCACCTCACAGAGTTACAGCTTTCCCCACAAGAAGCGTTTCGCTAAGACTGTTCTTGTGGAATTTGCAAAGTGATATATGGAAGCCTATAGAGGGCTATGGAGGAAAAGAAAATATCCTAAGTTAAAAACTGAAAAGAAGCTTTCTGATAAACTGCTTTTTATCCTGTTAATTCATCTCACAGAGTTACAGCTTTCCCCTCAAGAAGCCTTTCGCTAAGACTGCTCTTGTGGAATTTGCAAAGTGTAATTTGGAAGCCCCTCGAGGGCTATGGTGAAAAATGAAATATCTTCAGTTAAAAACTGGAAAGAAGCTTTCTGAGAAACCGCTTTGTGTTGTGTTAATTCATCTCACAGACTTACATCCTCCCCTGAGGAAGCCTTTCGCGAAGATTGTTCTTGTGGAATTTGGAAAGTGATATTTGGAAGCCCATAGAGGTCTATTGTGAAAAAGGAAATATCTTTAGTTAAAAACTGCAAAGTACATTTCTGAGAAACTGCTTTGTGTTCAGTTAATTCATCTCACAGAGTTACAGATTTTCCTTCAAGAAGCCTTTCGCTAAGACTGTTCTTGTGGAATTTGCAAAGTGATATTTGGAAGCCCATAGAGGTCTATGGTGAAAAAGGAAATATTTTCTGTTAAAAACTGGAAAGAAGCTTTCTGAGAAACTGCTTTGTGTTCTGTTAATTCATCTCACAGAGTTACAGATTTCTCCCCAAGAAGCCTTTCGGTAAGACTGTTTTGTGGAATTTGCAAAGTGATATTTGGAAGACCATAGAGGGTTACGGGGAAAAAGGAAATATCTTCCGTTAAAAACTCGGAAAAAGCTTTCTGATTACAGCTTTCCCCTCAAGAAGCCTTTCTCTAATACTGTTCTTGTGGAAACTGCAAAGGGATATTTGAAAGCTCATAGACGTCTATGGTGAAAAATGAAACATCTTCTGTAAAAACTGGAAAGAAGCTTCCTGAGACACTGCTTTGTGTTCTGTTAATTCATCTCTCACAGTTACGGCTTTCCCCTCAAGAAGCCTTTCGCTAAGACTGTTCTTGTGGAATTTGCAAGGTGATATTTGGAAGCCCGTAGAGTGCTATGGTGAAAAAGTAAATATCTTCCGTTAAAAACTGGAAAGAAGCTTTCTGAGAAACTGCTTTGTGTTCTGTTAATTCATTTCACAGACTTACAGCTTCAAGCTCAAGAAGCCTTTCGCTAACACTGTTCTTGTGGAATTTGCAAAGTAATATTTGGAAGTCCACAGAGGGCTTTGGTAAAAAAGGAAATATCTTCCGTTTAAAACTGGAAAGAAGCTTTCTGAGAAACTGCTTTGTTTTCTGTTAGTTCATCTCACAGAATTACAGGTTTACCCTCAATAAGACTTTCGCTAAGACAGTTCTTGTGGAATTTGAAAAGTGATACATGGAAGCCCATAGAGGTCTATGGTGAAAAAGGAAATATCTTCCCTTAAAAACTGGAAAGAAGCTTTCCGATTACAGCTTTCCCCTCAAGAAGCCTTTCGCTAAGACTCTTCTTTGGAGTTTGCAAAGTGATATTTGGAAGCCCATAGAGGATTCTGGTGAAAAAGGAAATATCCTAAGATAAAAACTGAAAAGAAGCTTTCTGAGAAACTACTTTGTGTTCTGTTAATTCATCTCACAGACTTACAGCTTTCCCCACAGGAAGTCTTTCGCTAAGCTTGTTCTTGTGGAATTTGCAAAGTGATACTTAGAAGCCCTTAGAGGGCTATGGTGAAAAACGAAATATCTTCAGTTAAAAACTTGAAAGAAGCTTTGTGAGAAACTGCTTTGTGTTCTGTTAATTCATCTCACAGAGTTACAGCTTTCCCCTCAAGAAGCCTTTGGCTATCAGAAGTGTTCTTGTGGAATTTGCAAGAGTGATATTTGGTAGCCAAAGAAGCCGATGAAAAAGGAAATATCTTCCGTTAAAAGCTACAAAAGCAGCTTTTTGAGAAACTGCTTTGTGTTCTGTTAATTCATCTCACAGAATTACAGCTTTCCCCTCAAGAACACTTTCGCTAAGACTGTTCTTGTGGAATTTGCAAAGTGATATTTGGACGACCAAAGAGGGCTATAGTGAAAAGGAAATATCTTCAGTTAAAAACTGGAAAGAAGCTTTCTGAGAAACTACTTTGTGTTCTCTTAATTCATCTCACAGAGTTACAGCTTTTTCCCCCAAAAGCCTTTCTCTAAGACTGTTCTTGTCCAATTTGTAAAGTGATATTTAGAAGCCCATAGTGGGCGCTGCGGTGAAAAAAATATCTTTATTAAAAACTGAGAAAAAAGCTTTCTGAGAAACGGCTTTGTGTTCTGTTATTTAATCTCAGAGTTACACATCTTTCCCTCAAGAATCCTTTCGCTAAGACTGTTCTTGTGTGGAATTTAGAACGTGATATTTAAGCCGCAAATGGGCTATGGTGAAAAAGGAAATAATTTACGTTAAAAACTGGAAGAAAAACGTTCTGAGAAAATACTTTGTGTTCTGTTGCTTTGTGTTCTGTTATTTAATCTCAGAGAGTTACATCTTTCCCCTCAAGAATCCTTTCGCTAAGACTGTTCTTGTGGAATTTAGAACGTGATATTTAGAAGCCCATAGTGGGCTATGGTGAAAAAGGAAATAATTTACGTTAAAAACTGGAAAGAAACGTTCTGAGAAAATACTTTGTGTTCTGTTAATTCATCGCACAGAGTTACAGCTTTCCCCTCAAGAAGCCTTTCGCTAAGACTGTTCTTGTGGTATTTAGAACGTGA